TCTGTCCTATCTGTGGGTTCTAGGGATGAGACCCAGGCCATAGGCTTGGTGTGCCATCTCACGAGCCTTGTGGGCCTCTTCAGTGCCAGCACAGGTTGTCTGTCTGTCTGTGCTACTGAAAGCATATGGGGGCAGGATGGCTTATTTACTTTTTTTGTAGGGTGACTCCTTTAGCTTCCTGTGATCAGTTTGAATACACTACAGTAAACTCCAAGACACCAATAATGTGCCACTGTCTCACTCCCCTTGGTGTTTATTTTAGAGTAAGGCGAGGTCTGAACTCTACCTCGCTCTCCCTGTGACTTCTGCCCTGTACTGTATGAGTCTGAGTCTGTGCCTGAAGTATGCCTTGTGACTCTGTCCAGTGTAGCTGTGTCTGGTGCCTGAGAATGTCTGTCCCTGTGTGTCTGAGTGCGTTTCTCTGTCTTAAGGCTTCTATTATTGTAATGAAACACCATGACTAAAAAGCAAGATGGGGGGCAAAGGGCATTGCTGTGCATCATAAGGGAGTCAGGACAGGAGCTCAAACGGGGCAGGAACCTGGAGGCGGGAGCTGATGCAGAGGCCATGGAGGGCGCTGCTACTGGCTTGCTCTACCTGACTTGCTCAGCTGCTTCCTATAGAACCCAGAACCACAGCCCAGGGATGAAAGCATCCAGAAGGGTCTGGGCCCTCCCCACCAATCACTAATTAAGAAAATACCTTTTAAGCTTACCTTCCTTTCAGATAACTCTAGTTTGTGTGTCAAGTTGACATGAAACTAGCTAGCACAGTCCCTAAAAGGGGGGGGGGTGTTTCACTGTCCTTTGAGAGCAACAAACAAAGTTATTCATTGGAGAAGGAATGAGGGACACTTTACAGAAATCTTAACTGAGTTTTACAGGGATGAAGTCATCTACTCCAGCTGACCCAGATAGCAAACAGTAATACAAACATTATTGTTCACCAAACAATTTCCATATATTGTATAGTCAACATTCGTGATGGATATTCATTTTATAAGACTGCTTGTTTCCAGCAAGCGATTATCATAGTACGCATGCATTATATTTTAGTCAGAGGCATGGAACAGTACGTAATTTAAGATTACAGTTATGCATAGCTTGGATTGATTACATGGGAAATCCAAGGAAGTAAAGTTGATTGTTGCATTGTTCTCTTAAAGGCAGGTTAAACAGGTTGAATGCACAGTAGGACAGCAGTCATAAGTGACCTCAAGGTATATTATTAACTCTGGCTGTGAGGCCCAGCAAAAACTCTCAGAATGTAAATAATTTTGATAATATTGCATTGCTGCAATTTCTGGGCTCAAGAGTAAGACCCCTGGGTTGTCAAAAAGGAAGTAACAAATTCTATACAGATAGCATGGCAGAATGTGAGCGAGCCACCCACAGAGGGAACCCAGTGGCTGAATAGGTCAAATGTGTATACTGTTGTAGTGTTTGTCGGTGCATTAAACTAACAGCAAGGAAAAGAAACACAGTGATACAAATCAAAGCATAACACAAGATTACAGCTGCTCATAGATCTCCACGTGGGACTTCCCTTTATGGCTGCTGATGCAGCACACCTTTAATGCCAGCGCTAGGGAATCGGAGGCAGATGGGTCTCTGAGTTCAAGGCCAGCCTGATCTATCTAGTGAATTCTGGGCCAACCACATAGTGAGACTGTCATCAAAACAATAAACCAAAAACAAAACAAAACAAAACAAAACAAAACAAAACAAAAAAAAAACAAAACAAAGATCTAACTGTCAGTTTTCACTGGGCATGCATTTCTTCTTTGGAGTCAGGCGGGTGGCATGGTCCTGCCTCATGGGTTGTGACAGAGCAGAGCAGAGCAGAAAGGCTGCCGCCATTTCAGGCCATGGACTTTATATATAGTCCTATTTACCTAGCAGCACAGGCGAATGGAATGGTAGTGTTTTTCTCCCTAGGTGAGATGGGTCGCGGGGTCTTGAACAGTTCTTCACTGATCTGCTGGGGACAACAGAATCTGTGCTTTTTTGAGTCCTCTAGTCATTTCCAGTCGCCTTTGTCCTTGTTTGGGACATAATTATGAGCAGTGTCTGTAACCTTACCTACCAGCATCGGTACAGCTGTTGTTGTAGCTCATAGACACTTTGGCCACCCATAAGCTGTATTCTCCAGCTGTAGAAGTAAAATGGGGAATGTCCCATTAATTTTATTTTTATTTATTTTTTTTTTTCCGAGATTGGGTTTCTCTGTGTAACATTCCTGGCTGTCCTGGAATTCATTTTGTAGACCGGGCTGGCCTTGAACTCACAGAGATCCACCTGTCTCTGCCTCCCAAGTGCTCTGTTTAAAGGCATGCACCAACCCTTAATTTTAGGTAAGGACTTTCAATGCCAAGTTCTATTCTTGGGCCATTCGTAGACTTATTTCCAAGGCTGGAGTTGACATAACAGGTCCCTTATCTTTTGGACATTCCCACCACCTGGTACTACAGAAGTTCATTTAAAAAGGGACCGATTAAGGCAGAAAACATGAGTGAACACTCACTATCAAAAGAGAGTGAACATTTATTAACTTGAATGACCAGTTTTTCTCTTTTTAGGCAGGATCTCAGAAGCAGAGTCGGATTCATTTCATTCTTCCACATTACCTTGGGAAGGTGGCTTGTTAAAGCTCTGTGGGAGCCACTTCAATGCCTTGAGAGAACCAGGGCGCCCCCTAGCTGTTTTTGCATGTTCCAGAGTCTCACAACTTCATGTGTCAGCATGAGGAGTACAAACTTACCTTGTCTGCCACTCTGTTCGGGAGATTTATTTAAAGCACTGTGACATCTTTGAGTGGTTTTGAGAGCTCATTTCTCCAGGAGAGTGTGACTGTTATTAGTGGACTCTGGAGAAAGTGTGTGTCACTGTGTTGGTCACACAGTGGGTATGTAAGATTTGTCACTCTGCAGTTGGGAATTTAGATAAGGACAAATGCCATCCATGAAGTGATGTCAAAGCCGCTGGAAAATGCTGCCAGCTTTATTTACCCCAGGTCGGAGCTGGGACCACAGAAGTGTGGTCGTGTTAGACAGTTCAGCGGAATCAGAGTAATTAGTACAACTTTGGCTTAGTGACTCTACTTTTTTGTAGTTTATTTCAGCGCTGAATTAACTACTGCATATGTGCACTCTCGCTGAGTGTGAAATCCCAAAGTTTCACGTGTTTTAGTTGCTGTCGTGTAACACTTTGCCGAATTAGTAAAAACGTGGTGGTTTGAAACAACACTGGTTTGTTTTCTTAGTTCTAGAGGTTAGACACCCGAAATCGTGTAGGACAGATGCCAAGGTGTTGGCAGTGATGGCTATTTCTAGAAGTTGAGGGGGAGAACCCGTTTCCCGCCCTTTCCATCTGGCGGCTGCTTGCGCTCATGGTTTGCAGTGCCTGCTTCTGTTCACGCTACTCTTTCTTGTCCTGTTTCCCTGTCTTGTGGATGCCAGTGATCACATTTAGGGCTCACTGAAATCATCCACACAGCCTTCTCATGTCAAACTCTTTGACTTTGTCATATCTGGTAGCATTCAGATATATTGTAGGTCAGTATACAGCTTACCACAATACTTGTGATGTATTGAGCTCTTCATACAAAATATTACTTTAAACAGGATCTACTAAACATGCTTCATTTAGAAAAAGGGCATTATCTCACATTTTAATATGATGTAGAAGTTTGTCTTAGGCCTTAAATGACCATTTTCTTTTGCAAATTGTGTCATTAGTGGTTTTATAAAAGTGATTCTTTAATTTTATGACATCACTTAAACAGTGGGTTGAAATAGAACAGTTATAGTAACTCATATGGGAGTATTGGTTTCGTGATGGTTCTCCCACTTTTTTAATGCCAAAGAAACTGGCTTTATACTTTATACTTTCAGAGGAGCTGCAATCATAAAAATAGTCTGGAAAGTGCACTTGCAGACACTCAACCTCAGCATTAGTATTATGTCCGCTTGGCTATACTCTCTCTCCTTTTTTGTTTTCCCTTTTTATTTTCTATTAAAGCCCTTAAGAGTCAGGTAACACCACCATGCAGCCCTCCTTCCCATTTGAACAGCGCGGTGGAGTCTCCCTAACCCCTCCATCTTCACCGACCCTACAGAAGCCCGTTCCTCACGATGCTCTTTCTGACTCCTGGCAACCACGCCGATCTAGTCTGTCTGTTGGATTTGCTTCTTCTGAACCTTTCATCTCATGGCTGGTGTCTTTTGCCCAGCATGGTGTTTTCAGGGGTCTCCTGTATTCTCACAGGAGCTATCACCGAGTCTTCAGTGCTCAAGAGCGCCCCAGAACGAGTTAATAACATGGCCAGGGCTCTCTTGGATGGAGATACTGCATTTTCTTCATCAACCACTTGACAGATGCTCAGATCCTGTCCACTTTTGCAGATAGTGCTGTGGTGGAAATTCACTTAGGGGTGTCTGTGTGAAAATATGTGCTTCCGGTTCTCTTGGGAAACACCTAGACAGTGTTTGGGGCAAGTGTTTGGTAACTTGCTTTAGCTTTTTTGTGCATCCACGTGGGTACTCATTGTTTAACTTTTTTCCCTATTTGTGACCCAGGCATGTGCCACAGAGGTAGAGCAAGGCCTTGGCGGCTGTCGTGGTGATGACTCACTCTGCTTGTTGTCCTTCCTAGTGTCCACACTTTTCTTGTGTGGGCTGCACTGCTGTCTCAGAAGAAATGTTTGGGAAATTAACGTTCTTCTTCGGTTACATTAATTGATGTTTTAGAAGAATAGAAGAACATTTGTGTAGCACACACCAGCCTTAAACTTGTGGTTTCTAAGCCCCAGCCTCCTGATTGCTGGGTAGGGGGAATGGGCCACCATCTTGGCATTGGATTTTATTTACAGCCCTAAATTTTGGGTATAAAGACACTTAATATGTCTGATAATAAATCTGGTAAAAAAATTTTTTTTTGGTAGTTTAGATTTTCTATTGGGAAGAAGAGGGATTGAAATGTCTCTTTTTTCCTTTATTCTAGAGACATATTATTACATCTCTCCATTAGTTTGTGCCTTTTTCTTGGCTTTGACACCTATTTGGATTATAATCGCTGCCAAACATCCTGCTACCAGGACAGTGCTCCACTCAGGCTGGGAGCCGGTCATAACAGCCATGGTCATTAGCAGGTGAGTGTTGGGGGAGTGGGAGGGGGAATGAGCATGTTCTGTGTAGGTGCGTATGGTACTAAACCAGTTTCTTGGACTAGCAGTGGGGCATGGGTTAGATGAATCCTAGTGGGGCTGCAAAATGGAATATTAGCCACCCAGAATAACATTGCTACAGGTCTGTTGCAATGGAGAGATGCTTGCTCTGTCCACAGTTGATGAAAAAGGCAATCTGGGAGAGAGTAGGAATGCTCTGTAAAATGTGGTAAACTGAGAGTCGTGTGTGCTCTTTGGATTTGGATAATACAAAGATCAAAATCAAGAATGGAAAGCCATTAAGAGGAGCTAGAGGATGACAGCTGTGCCTCTGTGCCGGAGACCAGCTCTTCAGAGTATAGGGCAGTGAACATAAGGAAAGATACCTCTCAGGATTAGGAAAACAAATGTGGGATTGGCTGATTGTCAGATATAGAGAGAAGGCATTTGTGGAAGCTTTGAGATGCATCCTTATCCACCACAGAAGTCACTAAATACAGGTCTAAAACTAAAAGTGAGAAATAGAATTTTTACATGCTGCTTAGCAACGTCGAGGCTACAGTGGAAAGTGACTCCTAGTGCAAAGAGTCTGGGAACGGGGTTAAGAACGACTGTCAGACGATGCCAGCGCTTTTGGTCTGTGACAGCATGTGGGTCATTTGTAGGTAGATTGCATTTCCTGGAAGATTTAGGCAACAGGATTCTATGGGCATTGGGACTGACGGCATCTTATAGTAAATAAACCACAGACAAGCCTCCGGGTTCCGTTGAGATACTGAAAGTGTATGGCTTGCCACTGAGTTGTATTAAAATAGCCATCTTACTTCCCAGACTTCTCAAGCTCAGCTCTTTCCATTGCTACAGCTCTCCGTGGTAATACAATGGCGATCCTTCTAGTTTTAGCACAGTAGAAACCGCCCCTTTAATGCCTGCTTGCTTTAAAGATGAGAAGACATTGTTTTGCTGGTGGATTTCTAGGAGGTTGAAGCTAGCAAGCTCCAGGCCAGCTAGAGCTATATAGCGAGACCCTGTCTCAAACTAAACAAAATGAAAAATACTATGTGCAGAAGACTTTGAAGGGACCAATAGTCTCATTGTTTTAAGGCCTTGAAATAGTTAACAATGTCTCATAGGTCCTTCTTGATAGTTTAGTGCGGTTACCATATGTATAATCTGGAAATTATGACACATACCTATAATCCCAGCACTTGATAGGCTGAGGCAGAGGACTGCTGTAAGTTCAGGGCAATCTTGGGCTATATAGCAAGACCTTGCTCCCCCAATGGAGAGGACAAAGATAAATGAAACAAACAAACAAAAACTAATGCACACACATTACTGGATGGTTATGGTGTTTGTTGTTTAGTGTGTGTAGTCTGCATGTATGCTGGTGTGTGCCCCGGGATCCAGCTGTGGAGGCCGGAGGTCCACACCAGGGTCAGAGTGTCTCCTGTGGCACTCACTGAACCTGGAGATCACTGATTGGCTGGCCAGCATGGCTAGCAACCTGAAGATCCCTGTGTGTCTGCCCCCCACTGCAGAGACCACAGGCTCCTCTTCCCACACCTGGACTTGAGTGGGTGTTGGGCTCTAAACTCAAGGCTTTGTGCTTATATAGTCAGTTCCTCATCCACTGAGCCTCTCCTGCCCCATGGCCACTTTTATTTCCAATTTGTTGCTGTTAATGTTGACTTCTTCTTTGAATACTCTTTGCCTGATTTTTATGATGCATAAATAAACATTGTTCTCTACAAGGCAGGGGTGTCTGAATCTCAGAACAACTTGAGATTCTCTTCCATTCTTCTTTCCTAATATGTGGTTTTCTTTCTTTCAGCATTGGGGGCCTTATTCTGGACACAACTGTATCTGACCCAAACTTGGTTGGGATTGTCGTTTACACGCCAGTTATCAATGGTAAGACTTGAAGGTACTGCCTCATGATGACATCACTTTTAGGTACCCACACATCTTCCTACTCCATCCATGTCTTCCTTCAAACTCAAGATGTGACTCAGAGTGGAAATTCTCCGTACAGAGTGGTCTCCGTACAGAGAATACTTTTTGGAAAAGAGCTGTTCCTCAGTGTGTGTTGGTGTAGTGCGTGTGTGCTTGTGCCCACAGAGATCAGAAGAGGGCATTGAATCTAGAACTAGAGTTACAGATGGTTGGGAACTACTATGTGGGTGCTCGAAATTGGAACTGGTTCCCTGCAAAAAAAAAAAAAAAAAAAAAAAAGCACTGAATAATGTCTAAATATGCAAGGGATGTGCTATTTCTCACCCTCCTCGAATAATCTGATATTTATTATGCATCTATGTAAGTGTCAACTAACCACAAGTCTTTTATGCCTGTTATATATGATTTAATCCTCATGTAAGTAATTAGTCCAAGATGGAATACCTCCTGTATGATGGTGAGTCAAACTCCAAAGCCAGATCTGCTTAATTCCCAAATCTATACTATTTTTCTCTCTTAAAACATACAACTACTAATTTATGTGAGTTATCTGATACATATATGCATGTGTTTAAAGTAAAGCTTGTCTGTGTTGATATGACTCGGATACCATTAAATGTTTACATGCCTCAGAACAAATAGCATTTTCTAAAATGCATTGGTCACACTTGCTCTGTAAGATATTAATAAGTACGATTTGAGAAGTGAGTTCTGTGACCAATTAAATTCAGTAAGCATTAAATTAACAGAATTTTTGACTACAGGTTACTGTAAGCCATTACTGTGCTAATAACTTCTGCTGGAAGTATTGGAATGTCTGAATCTAAGCTTTCTACCCAAGACCATGCTTGATGACCCACTGAATTAGAGGTTATATATTTATTTACTTACTTATTAGTGGACTAGGGAATGAGCCCAGGGCCTGACATGTGCTGTTACATGAAATTCAGCCTCGACTCATAGCATTATTTTCTTTTTAAGTATTTTATTAATTCTTCGAGACTGTCACACAATTTGATCATGTCCAATTCCCACTGCTCTCCCTGGCTATCCCAGGGATATTCCTAGCCTCCAACCTTCATGTCCTCCTTGGTGTTTTTCTTTAACAACCGTCACCTCTAGTTTGTGTTAGGGCATGGGGCATTCACTAGAACGTTGTCAGTTTACCAGGAACCACGCTGTCTTAGTTAAGGCTTGCACTGCTGTGGAGAGACACCATGACCACGGCAACTCTTACTAAGGAAAACATTTAACTGAGGTGGCTCACATTTTCAGAGGTTTCGTCCATTATTATCATGGTGGTGTGCAGGCCGACATGACACAGAGCTGATGTTCCTACATCTGGACTTGTAGGCAACAGGAAGTGGTCTGCCTCACTGGGCATGGCTTGAGCATCTGTGAAATCTTAAATCCCGCCTCCACAGTGAGCACACTTCCTCCAACAAGGCCATACCTACCCTAACAAAGACACACCTCCTAAGAGAGGTATACCCTTTGAGGGCCATTTTCTTTCAAACCACCACACACACCCTTAAATAAAACTGACTTTACCTACTCCAGAAATTGTTACTGTCCATAACCCCTCAGTTAGGGGTAGAGGCTCATGAACCCCTTCCCACTCTATGCAAGAATGTTGACTGGGTTGTGCAGATCTTATCCGGACAAACACAGTCTGTACTTTGACTAGTTGTGAGTTTCTGCAGTAACTACTGCCCATGTCTGGAGGTCCTACTCATCTATGTATACAAACGTAATGAGAGGGCCGTGCAATACTATGTTCTTTGAGCATAATACAGTGTCAGGTTCACTCTTGGGCCTGTAAGCTCCCAGGCATGGATTCTTGACAAGATCTCTAGTACCAGGCATGTGTTTCTCCCTGTAGCTGGGCCTTAAACCCAACAGAAGGTGGTTGGTTCCCTTCATAGCACCTGCACCACTACTGCACCTGCGGGCATGTCTTGCTTATGCCAGTCTTTATTACATTCCACAAGATTCACAGCTGGGCAAGATTGTTGACGGCTACTCCCAGTCAGGCAGCCCACATAAGCACCTCCCAGCATTCTGAAACTAGTCTGCAGGGAGAAAGCTTCTTGGGTCAGTACCAGCTTGATGTCTCCAAGTTCTGTCACCAGTGCATATATATGCTGTCTTCAGCAAGAAGGTCTTAATATCAAGTTCTAATAGGTAATCAAGAGCACTAGCAGTAGCCTGTGTTGTTTTGGGGCACCCCAATGCTATTTTTCAAATAAAATACCATTTTGTATATAGGATCAGAGATTTGTACCATTAAACCCTTCTGTCTTCTGTCGTATTTTTCTTTGTTTTAAACCCCATAGTGCATTATTATTCATACTTTAGTTATTTTTAAAAAACACTAAGCACAATAAAATGGCATTTTCTTACACAGAATGGCATTTCTAGTTTTTCCTTTGTATGCCTCCCTCCACCTGACTGTCATGCACTGTCCATGAGCTTGAAGACGTTCCTGTCAGTGAGTTGTATAGGGTCATCTTGATCAATAGGGCCTTGCTGTCTCTTGTGGACAACCAAAGGCCTTAGCATAGCCTGGGTTGTTTCAGAGTTCCCATGGGGCCCTCTGTAGTCCACATTTGCTGATAAGTGGGCTTCTTCAGGGGGGTGAAACAGTATTCTCTGTGGCTGTCTGGAACATGCTTTGTAAACTTGAATGGACTCAAGCCTGTGCTCCCCTATAAGTGTGCTTTTACTTATTAAATATTAGAATATAGACCTTGGAAGCAGCACCTGTAGTTTTTATTATTATTATTATTACGTTGTGGTGGTGTAAAGAGGGTTAGGATGGAAGTCTAAGAGAGCCTTTATCTGTGATGAGCAGTGTTAGGGGTGTTAGCAAGTGGGCAGAGGAACGATGGAGGGCAGATTGGGACCGCACGAGGGATGGGAATGATGAGGGGCGAAAGACAGGCCCGCCATACCCGAGTAGAGCAAGGGAGAAAGGCTCCCTCATCGAGAGTCTGGTGGAAGCAGGGTAAGGGAGGACGGAGACTGAGGAGGGGACTCACAGCTGACAGGCTCACTTGTGCCAAGTAACTGGAACGACCCCCCAGGACCGGTTTCCCAGCCTTCCTGTCACGGCGCGCAAAGAACAACGATGGAACTCTATGTTGCAGGAGCCACTCGTGGCCATTCTAAGGATTTAGGAGGTTGTCTCAACTACCTGTAACTCATTTATACATGCTGGGCAGGGAGTTCTAACCCAGGGCAGTGTTTTTTAAACTGTTTTTTTTTTTTTTAAAAAATTCATTTTCTGAAGGAGCCATTTAAAATAATTTCCCCTAAAGATGTCTATACAAATGAACATTACATGTATATTTTTATACCTATCATATATATGGCTGAGTATAAAGTTATACATATACATATCTTATGGTTATATTACACACATATAGAGAATATACATACATACACACACATACTTTATACACTAGAGGAATACAGTATTTCTTCCCTATGCCCTCATTAGAAAATGCATGAGCTAGGGTGGAAAATATGGAGAGAGACTTGGTCAGTTATTAGTCAGCTTATGCACAGTGTAGGAAAACAGTAAATAAAGGCAGATGGGGTATGGGAGTTTAATGTACCAGCCCTTATCCAGATGTAAGGGGCTTTGCCTGCACTTGGAATATAGAAAAGGGGGCGTGTCTCTCCATCTCTCCATCCCTGTGCACCTCCTGAAACCAAAGACTACTGCGTATGAGCACTGATGGGGAGTCCTGTTTGGAGGGTGGTCTCGCAGGGGCACGTGAAGGGGCTGAAACACATAGTTCACATGGGAGGTGCTAGATCAGTTGCTGAGCAGATTAGGAGCATAATTTGCCTTTTAAGGAAATGAACTTTCATATTGGGTTCCATTGAAGATATGCAAAGAAACATTCTTGATAGAATCTGAAACATAATCTTTAATGTGAACGTGAAACCTTTGCTGGAAACAGACTTTTAAGGGACTCCTGAGATGAACCTGCTGGTAATCCCTTGTTAGCACCAGGTATTTTTACTATTAATGAGCTTATTCTAGCATGATATACCTAAAATTAGCTCCGGTGCATACTGAGGAGTCTCGCTAACTCTTTAGTATATTGACAGGCTTTTTCTACTGATTATTTTAATTTATACAAGGCTATGTTTAGAGGTTTTCGCTTGCTTTAATAATGCAATTAGTGTCTGTAGAATTTAAATAATTCAGAAGCTATGTTAATAACAAATTCTTAAAAGCAAGTGTAGAAAACAGTATCAAGAAAGCATTCTTTGACATCAGAGAAAGCTATCCCAAGGTAGTGATTTTGCAGTAATTAAAGGATGTAACCAGCCACCCTGACAAGACTGTGACGAGCTGCCATTTACTGGTGTCTTCACTAGTAACGTTGCTTCTCCTCATGGGGAGAAGCACTATTAGAGTGTTTCTAAAGTCACGGCAGAAGGCTTTGAGATGACTTCCATGCATACGGCAGCACGGAAGTGATAAATGGTGTTTCTACAGATTTCTACCAAGGCATCTGTAGCTCTCTGAGAGAACTACAGATGATCATTAATAGCCCAGACTCAGGAAAATCTCAGCTGTGGTAGAGCGGCTCAAGCCTAATAGTGCATGCTGTCTGTATCTCCACTGAAGCATCCCCATCTAATAAGACACCAGATGGAATATTACACTGAGAGAGTCCCCCGAATGAGGAGGAGGGAAAACACACTGGCATTCTGCGGAAGTAGCTGCTGTTGGGAAATGTTATCTGCGGCCTTTTGCTTTGTATCAAGTCCATTCTTACTGCCGATTCTGCTGCATTTTGAGAGGCTGTGAACCGAAGCCCCATTTTAATCAGCTTCTTCCTCTCTGCTTCCCCAGAATCTCTGTGACAGCTCTTCCGTCCTTTGGGCAAACGCTCTCCCCCCTTCAGTTGCTGGGATGCATTAATTCACTCAGGAGGATGAGTCACTGGCCTTGTGAATATAGTGTTAGCACAAGTACACTCATGCTGTGTGGGGTGTGCTGCTATCATTGCAGACTGCAAAAGGGAGCCCTGACAGAGAACTCCAGACTTAAAGGCATAGTTGTCACTAAGCAGGGGCTGGTGCTATATAGCTCAGTGGGTGTCACACTGAAGGCCTGAATTTAACTTGTCCCGGAAGCAATAACAAAGCTGGGAGCCACAGAGTGTCCCTGTAGCACGGCCACTGTCCTTGGTTCTCCTGCGGCAGAGACAAGAGGAGCCCTGGAAGCTAGCCAGCTAGCCTAGGGTACTCAGTTACAAAACAACCGCAAGAAAGAGACCCTTCCTCAAACACCTGAGGCTCTCCTTTGTCCTCTACATGTGCATTGTGACACGCAGTGCGCACACGCATGCACGAGTGCACCCACACGCACGCATGAGAAACTCAGCAGGCAAGCAGAAGTCCACTAACTTTGTGCACGTGTGTGAAAGTATGTAGTGTGCGTGTATGACGTGTGGGATGGTGCGCCCATGTGTGTGCAAAGACCACAGGAGAGTGTCAGGCATCCTGCTCTATCGCTGCCCACCCTGCCCCCTCGAGAGGGCATCTCTTACAGACCCGGGAACTGTGCAGGTGGCCAGCAGCTCCAGTGATCCTCTGTCTCCAGGGTTCCACAGCACGTGGCCCCGGCGTATGGCGTATGCCCAACGTTTGCACAGATGGAGGAATTAGGATTCAGGTCTTTAAGTTTGTGTGGCAAGCTCTCTCACCCTCTGAGCCCGCTCCAGCCCCTGGGTTAACCTCTTTGGTGAGCTGTCTGCTAAGTCCCTTGTCCTTTTTTCTGTTGTTACTCGTAGGTTTTCTCCCTCTTTGCCTAACGTGTTCTCTGGCGAGCTAAAGTTTTAAATTTTATAAACTTTCCCTTCGTGTTAAAGGATAATTTCCGTATGTATTAGTCAGTATTCTCCAAAGAGTGGCAGTGGGGAGGGGTGAGGAGAAAGGGGGAGGGAGGGAGGGAGAGAGAGAATGAGAGGAGGTGTGGTAGTTATACTTTCTTTGGATCATCAGCTCTCACGTAATGATATAGAGACTTCTTATTAAGTAGGAAAGGTTGGCCTTAGCTTAGGCTTGTTCCCAGCTAGCTCTTAAACCCGTTTATATTAATCTACATTGTGCCACATGGCTTCTTACTCTCCTCAGTCCTGTATGTCTGACTTGCTCCATGCCTCAGATTCCTCCCAGAATTCCTCTCTGTCCCCAGAAGTCCTGCCTGTCCTCTCCTGCCTAGCTGTTGGCCATTCAGCTCTTTATTAAACCAGTCAGAAGGTGCCTTAGCAGGGACACATCTTCACAGAGTACACAAAGACTATCCCACAACACTAGAGAAACTGGCTCATGCACTTATGGAGGCTGAGAACCCTACCAAGAGGCCAGTTCCGGAACCAGGGAAGCAAGTGGCAGAAGGCTTCAAAACCCAGAGTTCTTCTGACAGGAGGGCACCCCAACTCCAGGACAGGGTCCTTTCCTTCTGTCCAGGTGCCAGGCATTGCATGGACTCCACTCACGAAGAATGCCCTTTCCCTCATCTCCTGTGCTCCTCCCATGCAGAAACACCCTCCTGGCCACACCCAGGGATGATCTTTCGCCATCATCCACATGCCCTGAACCCCGTTGAGCTCATACTCAGCATTGGCAGTGTGCTATTGCAGCTTCGCAATTTTGTTTTTAATTCACCTGGAATTGGGTTTTGTGTTTTGTATGAGAGTCAGGACCAGATTTCAGGGTTGATCTGTGCGCCCCACCCTGTAGTACACACCCAGCTTGTATGTGTGTCAGGCTAAGAGCTTTTAATCGTGACTGTTGAGCTGTATCGGGTTTTCTCCATGTATTCTTATAACCATGTTACACCCCCCTCCATTTACTTGTTAATGAATGACATTAATTTCCTTCCAGATGTTAAATTGGTCTTTCATTCCTTGGATAAGCCCAATTTGGTTGTGATGTATCACACATTGAGTATTTTGTTGGATTTGATTTGCTAATAGTTCAGAATGGAAGTTATTAATGATATTCCTGTAATATCTATTAGTAGAATAGTGGTGAATTCTGTTCATTGCCCTGTGTTTATATGTTGGGCTGCTTTATCTTCTAATGTTTAGCTCTGTGTATCTGGGGGCAGTTTGTTCACAGGGGAGCAGTGCAGACACTGATCTCCTGGGAGCTGGAGCTTTGGAGGCTGCGGACCAGTTATGTGGGGTCCCCGCAAGAACAGTGTGCACGCTGAGAGCCACCTCTGCAGCTTACTGGTTATCTGTGAGGCAGGGTCTTACCCTGCAGCTGAGGAAGGCTGGCAGAACCCAGCGGGTCACAGGCTCCCTGCGCCTGTGCTGGGTCACAAGAGGCGTGAGTGGCTGCATGTGCTCCCTCCCATCCGGGTGTTGAAATGTGAGCCTCCTCTCTTGTTCATTTGTTCAGAGCTGCAGCTCCTTCTGGTCTACTTTTTGTTGTGTTCTCTCTCTTGCAGAATTGTCTTCTTCTGAATACGTTTTAAAGCTGTGAGCTCACCATCACTGATATGGCAGGCTTCGTCTGTATAAGTAGAAGCAGTGCCCCAGTTTCAAAGGATTGCTCTGTATGCCTCCCTCACAGTTCAGTGGTTTTGTTTTTCAGACAGGGTTTCTCTGTAGCTTTAGAGCCTGTCCTGGAACCCGCTCTGTAGACCAGCCTGGCCTCGAACTCACAGAGATCCTCCAGCCTCTGCCTCCCGAGTGCTGGGATTAAAGGTGTGCGCCACCAGCACCCTGTGTGTTTTATTTTTATTAAATTGATTGCTTTCTCACTCCCTGGTGATCTCTTCTTTGACCTGTGGGTTACTTAGAAGTATACTGTTTACTTTTGAATTAGCCAGGCAGGGGAATCTCGATGTCCATTTCCTGTGCCTGGAGAGCCCTTTAGATGTTTCAGACTGGAGACTTGTCTGCAGCCTCGGGCACTTTGGAAAGTGTCTGGTGGTGTTGAGTGTCAAAGTATTTTCAGTACTTTTCTCAGCTGTCAGCTCCGGCTGGACACTGAAACTGCTCCTTAGGTTTTCTTAGCATTATGTGTATCTGGCACATGTTTTTTCGTATTTTAACTCATCTGTGTTTCATCATTTATTGTGTGTTATATACCCTTCCCCCAATGGATTCTTTACTGTGTCAGCCATAGTTATTTTATAATCCTTGTCAAATAATTTCAGTACTGGGATCTGGGCATTTGGGATGCCAGCATTTGGGAGGTAGACCAGGAGTTCAAGGTCATAGCAAGCTCAGGGCCAGCCTGAACTACAAGAGGCCCTGTCTCAAACTGCAAATGATGGAGAACAATAACAATTATTATCTCAACCCCTATAGTTTTATTAAATGCTTGGCATTGAATATGAAAGACCACTGGGAACTGAGATAAATATTACTTGTGCCTAGAAACGAGCAGCTCTTTGCTTGTTGCGTGAGGTTAGGACAGTCCTTGCGCTGCGGCTCCTTCAGTATTTTGGCTTGATTTTCTTCATCTGTGGGCCCCTGCCACTGAGTTGGTGTGGCTGCCTGTGGATGGCATGAACAGACTTCCTCTGTGGCGACATGCTGATGCTTTCCCTCTTCCTGTTGCAAGGGTTCTCTTACTTTACCTCATCTGCATAGCTACACCTGGTCCTGAGAGTTGAGGCATACTTTTTCTCCTCCTCTGTTGGCAATCAAACCTCCAGGTGGGTCTTGATCGGAAGAGCCTCCAGCAGCTGTCAGCCATTACTCCCGTGGCAACAGTGCCTGGGGCCGGGCAATGGAGCGTTTGCTCCCCGTCACAGGTGGCCTGACTTTCTAAGAGAGGTTTGGTGTGGCTCCAGGTCTGGGAGTGGTTAGGTTAAGATGGTCCCAGGCTCTTTAGTCTCAGACCCTCCCTTGGTCTGCCTCAGAAGCACCATTTGAACACCTTTGAAACAAATATGGAGTCCTGTAGGCTCCTCTAGGGGCTGTGCTGGGCCACATGCAGGGTTAAGAATTGGGAATTTGCTTTAGCTTTCTTCTTATTTGCTCTGGTCTCTTCCTCACTGACTGCAGATGGAGAGAGAATTCGGAGTGTCCTTGTCACCTTGGAATTCATTTCCTACCTCGGCATTAACTCTGCTGCCTCTCAGTCATGGGGAGGCTGTTTGTAGGTTGGAAGGGGGACTTTGCTGAGTAATTTTATTCAGCTCCTAATTCATTTTCTGTGTGAGTTGAGACGGTATCAAGCCTGTCAATTTGAATACATGACACTTATTTTTCTCTCATTAAGGTGACAAACATAAATACCTTGGTACCTAGATTTGTGAAATGATTGCAAGAATGATTTTTAAAAATTACCCATTCAGGTCTACTTTCTCGTCAGACAGCTAATCAGATTTGAAAATAATGAAGGCTTTTTTTTTTTTTTTTTTATAATAATGATTTTTGGGTTATCTCTTTGAACATTAAAGAAGCCAACATTTCAGGAAGAGTTTGTCTCTTTGACTGAGACTGTGACAGGAAAGGACTTGCTCTGTTGGGATTGATGAAGTTGTTTAAGTAAAAGGTAACCCTGTTTTTTCTCAATGTCTCAGGTATCGGTGGCAATTTGGTGGCCATTCAGGCTAGCAGGATCTCTACCTACCTCCATTTGCATAGCATCCCTGGAGAATTGCCGGAAGAGCCCAAAGGTTGTTCCTACCCGTTTAGGACGTTCTTTGGTTCAGGTAGGTGTGTGTGGGTTTTGCCAGGACCGTACCCTGCTGAGATCTGGACAGGCAATATTTGTTGAATTGATATTCTGTGAATGTTGTGCTGAGCTAATCTCAGGGAACAAAGACCTTTGGTGTCCCTAAGTCTGTGTTTGCACTTTTTATTCCTGTCTCTGTTGGTTGTGAGCCTAGCCTTTTCTCTCCAGCACTGGGGAGGCAGAGGCAGGCAGATCTGAGTTTGAGGCCAGCCTGGTCTATAGTGCAAGTTTCAGGTCAGCCAGGGATACATAGAGAGACTCTGTCTCTAAAAAAGAAAGAAAAGACAGAAAGAATGAGGAACCCTACGCACAAACTCAAAGGACAACGGAGATTCCTTCCAGTCCTGCCGCTTTTGGACTCTTTAAAATGTGGGTTCGGGGCATTAGGAGACAGCCCAGTGACGGGAAACAATGAGGTCATTATTTCGTTGCTTCCTATGCATGGGTGTTGACCTGTACGTGTGTCTGTGCACCATTTGCATGCCTGGTGCTCCCAGGGGCTGCGGGGGGACATCAGGACTGCAGGTATAGGAGGTTGGGAGTCACCACATGAGTCCTGACAGCCCTGGTCCTCTGGAAGAGCAGTCAGTGCTCTTAACCACTGAGCACTCAAGCCTCTGCTTGTAATATCAGTGAAGGATAATAAAAGGAGACACAAAATTGGCATTCCGTTTCCCTCCTGTTTTCATGACACTATTGTTCTTCAAAACGAGGTTTGTTTTGTTTTGTTTTGTTTCGTTTCCCTGACACACGGTTTCTGTGTGCGCAGCCCTGGCTGTCCTGGAACTCACTCCGTAGACCAGGCTGGCCTTGAACTCAGAGATCTGCCTGCCTCTGCCTCCCAAGTGGCCGGGATCAAAGGTGTGTACCACCAACACTGCCTGGCTGAAGACAGTATTTAAACAGCTGTTTTTGTTTTGTTTTTTTTTTTTTTTACTTTAACAACATTAAAGGTATGCATTATAGTAAATGTACGCATTTTAAAAATTAAATAGTACCAAAAGGTTCTACTCCTAGGGGAATTCCCAAGAATTAAGTGACTTGTAAGTAAGTGAACTTCACTCTTATCAGTTGAGCTGATGTGACGCTGTGAGCTGTAGTAATGAGAAAGTTACCTTCAGTTTACTATTTTGTTTCTCTGTCTGCCTGGGGGGGGTGGGGGGGTGGGGGCTTGAACTCCAGGTGCTGCTGCCTCAGCTTCTGGAGTACTGGGGTTGCAGACATCCAGGGTTGTCCTCTGACTCCGTGACATGGATTACCATGCCCACTTTATAGGTTTACTTTATTTTTCCACCAGTACAGGGGTTGTACCTTGTGAGTGCTAGACCAGCAACCTTCCGCTAGGCTGGCCTCCCGCTGAGCCTCACTCCCCCCCCCCCCCCCAGATGCAGCCTTCAAATGTGATTTCTAATGCCCTTTGCCTTTCGTGTTACAGGAGTGAACAATAAGTCTGCGCAAGTTCTTCTGCTCCTAGTGGTTCCGGGCCACTTGATTTTCCTCTACACAATTCACCTGATGAAGAGCGGCCACACCTCTCTGACTATAGTCTTCGTTGTCGTGTACCTACTTGCTGCCGTGCTACAGGTGAGAGTGAAATCTGACCCCTTCTGCTCAGATTGCCGGGAAACTGTCTCGATGGGCTTCTACAGTACACAGCATAGTTCCCGCTTTAGGAGTCAACTGAGGCCTTTGCATCGGCTTGATCTAAACCCCGGCCACTTCTGGCACAAAGAACCTTTGGGTTGCCTGGGTTTCCCGGCACCCTTTGTTGATCACCCCGCTCTCTTTGACACATCTTCCAATAGATTCTTGAAGCAGGGAAAGGAAGCACATCTTGGGCTCTGACTAGTATCTTACCCTACTTTTTATATCAATAGGCTGGTTGTACTTTTCTTTTGGAATTCTGGAGTCATGCTTTACTGTCGTCTAGCGGTTGGTATTGCCAGTGAGAATAGGTGCCATCCATTCCCGACTCTGTTGTGTGAACTTGTTTTTTTTTTTTTTTGTCTGTTTGGGTTCACAAGTGTTTGTGTGAATGAGTGCGGGCTGGCCCCTCTTCAGAACTCAGGCCTGCCCAGTCTCCACCGCACTGAACTTCCACAGGAGAGCAAAGGCTTCCTCCTCACATACTTCCAAAACTCTGCACGAATGCAGCATGGTGCAGTTTGTCTGCGATGCTTGGGAGCCCAAGGGGCACGTTTGTAGCCTTGTCTCTTCTTGGAAACTAAGGACTGTCGCAGGTCAAGAATGGCTGCAGAGTACCGGAAGTCACGATCTATCTAGCCGGGCTTGGGTCTTTCACAGTTTGTCTTACATATTCCCTTTAAAACTTTATAATTACACTTATTTACCTATTTGTATGATGTATGTGTGTATGTGTGAGTATGCAGTGTGTGTGTGTGGTGTGTGTACGTGTGTGTCTGTGTGTGTGTGTATGTGAGTGAGAGAGAGAGAGAGAGAGAGAGAGAGAGAGAGAGAAATACTTACTTGCAAGAGTCCTCTCATTCTACCGTTTAGGTAATCAAGAGTGAACTCAGTATAAAAGTCTCATTGCTTCATGTGTGTGAATAGACACATGTGTGTCGTGATGCATGTGTGGGTCAGAAGGTCCTCACCTGCCACCTTGTTTGCCACAGCCCACAGCATGTCTGTCTCCTGCAGGCTTTGTGTGGGCTCTGGGGCCTGAAGTCAGGTACTCATCACTGTCTGGCTTCACACACTGAGTCATCTCTCCAGACCTTCACAAAGGATTCTTGTTTGCCTTTTCCGATAGCCTTAGGGCACATCAACCCGAGAACCTTTTAAAATATTCAGCTTGAGGATATTTAGGCCACATGGGTCATTGTTTCTGGATTCAGTTACTTGAAAGACCATTTGTGGTTAGGGATTTTTCTTAGGGATGATTTTTTTTTCTCTATGTATTTAAATCTCCCTCTTCTTCTTGAGGAAAAGCTTACTTCTTGCACAGGGGTTTTAGTTTTAGTCCTCGAATCTTCTATTAGATGCCCCACCTGGGAAGTCTTTGTTTTTACCTTCTGCCTGGCCACTGTACCCTGTGCTGCTGTCAAAAGTTAATTAATTAATTAAAGTGATATGGAAGTGTATGCCGAATAAACCCTTTCCTTCATACAAAAACAAAAAATAAAAACCTAGATGACTCCTCAGGCCACTGGAGAGGCAGAGAACACCTATGGCTGGGTATGGTTTGTGCTCAGCGAAGCAGCCTGCTCCAGACCCTTTAGGGACCTTCACCTTAGGGACCTGTGGCCTCAGCCTGCCCGTGTCCCTCCCTCTGAGGCCCATGAGAGTTTTCTTGTCAGCTCAGTGATGCATTTAAAATGAAAATTCCAAAATTTTCTGAACATTTGAAGTTGTTCCTAATGACTGAGTTGTTTGCAATGCTGCCAAAAAGTTGGGCAAAAAGTTGTGTCCCTGGATTGGGAGGGGTGTGTGGTTGTGTGGTGTATTAATCTACAGGAAGAAGCCTTTCTTTTCCCAGCTGTCCTCAGCCTGTGTTCAGCAGAGCTGAGGTGGGATGGGAGGGCGGTATGGCCTTTGGAGTTTCACAGCCTCAGTTGGCTATCATTCTCAATCGCTGTCTGACCAGAAAAGTCTCTTCAACCTTTCTCCATCCCAGTTTCCCACCTGGAGAAACCCCTCTCAGATAATTCCCACCACACTCCTCAGCAAAGGACGTCAAATGTTAGCACCCCTCACCTCCAAATCTCACAAATACAACTCAGATGAGAATGAATATCAGTAGACCAAACTCCTGCTGAATGATAACCCTGGATTATTCCCGGACATTAAATACCAGATTTCAGCGGTGGTTTCCAGCCTGGAGGCCTAACTAGAGGAGGCTGTTTCATTGGGGAACGAATTCAACCTTTGCAAAGCTCAGTTAGGAAGAACTGTCGTCATTTCTATTTATGAGGGTTATCTGTGTCATATTCCACTCATCTTTGTTCACACAATGCACAGGGCTGCCATTGGCAGCCACAGAGTTAAAGAAATGCTAATGTCAGCCAGTGTTGATCTGAGCTCAAAGGAGGGGCCGTCCTAGAAAGTCAACAGCGTCCAAAGCAAATAGATACTCTTGTGCTTACATATTTATTTAAATTCCAGACAGTACGTTTCTAAGCTGCATAATTAACCGGGGCTACAAAGTTGCCTTTTCAGAAGGCATATTTACCCAGAGCAGTTATGCATATTTCATCGAGAGTAGACGATGTTGAAACACAGTGCAGCCTTGCTTTGGACTCTGAAGTGGAAAGTATTTGTTCCTTAATCAATGATTTAATTTTCAGGCAAACCATGTTGCAGTAAGAAGGCTCCCACACCATGATTTTCATAATTTACGCCCAGAGGTCCAAGGGAACACTAATATATTTTGATAACTTTACAAATGAAGTTTTAAAAATGTACACCTGTTTGAACATTAAGTCATTGTAACATCTTTAAAAAAGAATCATGTAAGAAATTGACTCTGTGGCATGAGAATATGGAAGAGGAAACAGAAAGGACGTGGAGACTGTTGTGTGTGGCACGCATGACAGCGTGTGTGGCACGTATGACAGCAATCTCCTTCCTTTTTAGTTTACCAGGAACACGCTATGAAGGCAAGTCTGGCCATTTTAAAAGAGAGGCTCAGAGGTAAAAGGTCACAGCGCTCACCAGTGTTAGGAACCAGTGTTTGCTGGTTTGTTCGGATTACCTTTTAAATGAAACTCGTGGATTCTGAGCCGTTGGTGTTGACAGTGCAAGTGTTTGTGGAATACTAACTAGGAACCACGCAGTGGTGTTTAGTCCCACATAGCATCTCGAGCCATACTGCAGCCAGCCCCGCGAGGTCGGTGACGATGGCTTATTTTAGAGGTTGGGGCAATGAAGACTTGTGGAGAGCAGCAGGTATCCAGTGTGTGGCCTCTTTAACATACTTGCCTGCTTGGTACCTCCAGGGTTCTGCAGACATGCAGACTCCTTGCAGGATGCCCCTTAGTAAAGGGCTCTTCTCTTGCAGCCCTGGTCAGGGACTTGTAAGGGACAGATCGCATTTACTACTCAGCTCTAGCAACCCTGAAGTTAGGGGAAGCAAGTATTTCAGAGTGATAAATAAAAACACACCATATCAGTGCCACCCACCCACCACCTCCTAGCCCATTTCATTCCTCTCTAGTGCTCTTCAGAACCATAACTTGTCATCGTCCTAACGTAGCCACGCCGTTACTTTTCCCATTTGGAAGCTGTATTGAAGTGTTGATAGTGTTCAGGGCTTTCTGTTGCTATTTATGTAATGCTCTTGAGACAGAGCTGTGGAGCCTGCTCTTTCTCATTCACTTCAGATTCTGTCTGATATGCACGTGTGTGGCCGGAGACTTCATGCAGCCATCCTCACCCAGGTCACGTGCCACTCTCCGTCTGGTGAGGGTTCTCGCTCACCTCTTAGGACACTCCTGAAGGGATTTCTCTGGCCTTCCACACGTATCCCAAGGGTTTGCTCTTGATCCTTTGGAACACCTGGGGCCCTGAGATCCTAAGAGCCGGTTCCTTAGCAGTGAAGTTTGTCCTTCTACCCATTGTTTCTGTGTGGGGTCTGCATACCAGTGCACACAGACTGTCCTCCAGGAAGTGAGCCAGGTCTAGCCTGTGACTCGGTGGGGAGGGTCCCCAGCTGACAAATGGCTTGGGTTTATGACTATGAGTTTGAGTCTCATTCAGCCTGTACGCTGGGTGTTTGTATCTTACCAGGAAAAAAAAAAAAAACAAAAAACCCTTCAGATAAACACCTTATCACCCCCAATTTTGTTCTTGTTGCTTATTTTTTTGAGACAGGGCTTCTCTGTTTAACAGTCAGGCTTCCTTGGAACTCGCTCTGTAGACCAGGCTGGCCTTGAACTCACAGAGACCCACCTACCTCTGCCTCCTCTTCAGGGCCTCCCTGATCACCTCGGCACTGGTTTTCATGCCTTGGTTTCTCCTGCTCAGCGGGCGTCTTCCATGGCCATTTTTCCCCTGTGTTTAATAAAGATCCACTTTCTTCCATATTACAGATGTTTTATACTCAGCTGGCAGTGTGTGGCCCAGGGCAACCGTGAGTGTGGTCAGCAGTAGCCCTTGGTTTCCCAGCGCTAACGAGCTGCTGGTCTTGGGTAGTTTTCTTACACTCTGTCTGCTTTAATTTTCTCCCATGCCAAAGAAGGATAATATCCCATTCTGTGTTATAGAAACGGTCTGAGAATGAAATCAGCTCGCGTGTAGTGGGCCTCTTTGAAAGCCACATGGTCCCATTACTGGCCATTCAAAAGACAGTGTTTGCTATTATTGTGGTTTACATTTGATTTTTTTCCCACGAGATGAGCATGAAATGGAATACACAAATTAAAACACTGTATTCCGTTTCATGCTCATCTCACAGGGAAAACCAAAATGGCCTGTGTCCCTTGTTATTAGAGAGGCCTAGCATGTGGCGTACTGGCTTTTGCGTTTCCTTTCTCCCCTGTTGTATTATTTTTCTTACGAACTGTAGGGATTCTCAGTAGTCTCCCAAAATATGCTGAACACTAATTCGTTGTCAGTTAAATGAGAGGCAGAGGCATTCTACAAGCCTGGGGCAAGACTTTCATTTATTGAACTACAGAAGTAGTTAGTAGTTAGTAAGTTATTCACTCAATGCATGTTTTATTTATGAATTCACTGCCAAATAAAGATCGGGATGATACTCTCTTATATTTCCTTATAGAGATTTTCTTTATATTCATTTTACTTACAGATTCTGTTGAGGTGTAGGGGAAGAAAATAAAAGTATCTACTTTCTTTCCTTTTGTTGTTGTTGTTTGTTTTTATCTTGAGACAGGGTTTCTCTGTGGCTTTGGAGCCTGACTTGGAACTCGCTCTGCAGACCAGGCTGGCTTCAAACTCAATGGTGGGGCTCCCTCTGCCTCTGGCTCCCGGGTGCTGAGGTTAAAGGCGTGGGCCTCTGCTGCTGGGTTCGCTTTTGTCAGAGGTAGTAGCGTTTGGCCCAGGGTCTTCTGTGCAGCCCGGCAGTCATGATTCTCTTGCCTCCCACACACACGAGGCTTAGCTATTTCCTTTTTCTATCACGTTCTTCTGTAAATTGCCAGACATTGGATCCCTGAGGCTCTGTGGGTTGCTTCTTCTCTGTGACAACTGCGTAGCTGTTTAAACCTCTGGGCCAGTTTTCCCACGTGAATCCTAGCAGTGATAAAATGTAAGGATTGAAAAGTAGACTAAAAGGAAGATAAGGAATGAGTGGAGTTGTGTTCCAATAAAACTTTATTTACACAAGTAGGTGACAGGTTGAATTGGTCTTCGGAGCTATCATTGCCAATGCTTGCTTTAGACCAGGGATTCATAAACCTTTTCTGTTTGTGACCTTTTTAGTCTCCTAAGAATTTTTATGTGATGTTGATTATTAAGTCAACAGAAGTCTTTCCATTGTTTCCTCGATTTTTACATTTTCACTTGCAATTTCTTCACTCGTCCAGTGGTCATTTAGAAGATGTTGCTCGCTGTGTGTGGGTGTGTATGTATGTGTGTGTGTGTGTGTGAATGTGTGTGTGAATGTGTGTGAGTGTGTGTGTGTGTGTGTATGTGAGCGTGTGTGCATGTGTGTGTGTGTGTGTGTGAGTGTGTGTGTGTGCTTCAACCTCATCTGTTGGTCTGTAATTGTATTCCATTGTTGTCTGAGAAGACATTCAACATCATTTCAGCTTTAAAATTCATTGGAACTTGCTATTTAGTCTGCTGTATGACGTGTCCTGGGAGACGTGTGTGCTGATGAGCAGAACACACTGTGTTGAGCAACACAGGCTACACATGAGACTTACTTAGCATTTGCTGTCCTGTCCGCCCCCAGTGTTTGTCTGTCGGTTTTCTTTCCCGGTTGTCTGTCCATTGAAGAAAGTGGGGTGTCAGAGTCCCATTGTTACTGGGTTAGAGTCTCTCCCTTGTATCTAATAATATGTGCTTTACGCATTTGGGTGGGTCGTTTGGAGGGTGTGTGTGTGTGTCTACAGTTTCTATGTCTGTGCTGAGTCAGTCCTTCCTTAACTGATGGCGTTCTTTGTCTCATTGATTATGTCCTTTGAGGTCTGCTGTGTCTGCTGGGGATCCCTACTCCTGTCCCATATTGGTTTCCATTTGTGTGTCCTTTGTGGTTTCCAACCTCCTTTGAGTTTTCTTGTAGGCAGTATATAGCGGTCATTTAGCCAATCTGTTTATTTTTATTGAACTCAAGGCTATTGTTAATAATCATGAACCCATTATTGTTTCACTAATTGTACACTGCTTACTACACATGACTTCTTTATGATTTAGTAATTTTCTGTTTTGCTGGGGTTAAATCCCTCTTCTAGTGAATTTTGTAATATGTATTTCATGACAGATTCTTAAGTATTTCTTGCACAGCTGACCTGGGAGTGCTGAGGTTCCTCAGGTCCTGCTTCTGTGACTTCATTTCTCCAGACCTGGAAGGATAATTGTGCTGGGTATACCATTCTTGCTCGGCAGGGCATCTTTTTTCTTTTATTATTTTGCCTGCATTATCTCATTCTCTCACATCTCATTTGGCCTGTAAGCTTTCTTCTAAGAGCTCTACAGCAAGCACCGGCTGTCAGGCTAATAGACCTTTGCTTTTACTTTTTTGGAGATTTACTGTTTGCACTACGCTGTTGATATTTTGACTACAATGCCCTTGATGATGATCGGTTTTGTTTGTCTAGTTAGAGACTTTTGAGCATCCTGAGTCTTGGAAAACTGGGGGCCTCTCCAGCCATCGCTCTGTGAAGCAGGCTGTTGTTACTGTCTTTCCTGTGCGTGTGTCTGTTTGAAAGGAGGGTGCGCACACGCTGCAGCGTGTGTGAGTCAGAGGAATCTTTGTACCACTGCTTCTCCTCCAACCTTTGCCTGGGTTCCAAGGGCTGAACTCAGTGGTCAGGCTTGCAGCGACAAACACTGCCCCTGCTCAGCCATCTCACCAGCCTGCAGTATTTAATAATACGTTTCCACTTTTCTTTACTTTCCAGAATTACTGGGATGCTAGTATTTGTTTGCTAACAGTCTCCCTTAACTGTGCTCTGCCTGTCTTTCTAGCTACTTAATTCTAAAAGCTCTGTTTGTATTGGTTTGTTGTGGGCATATTCTCTTTTATTTTTCATTTCGTTGATTGAGGTTTTTATTTCTAAGGGGCTCCCCCCCCCTCCTGTCTTTTCTGAATTGTTTTTCTCATTTCTTTATATTGTTGATCTCTCGCCTCTTGCATCTTGAACTAGGTTTTGTTAGGAATGCTACTTTGAGTTCTTTCCAGCACCTCTGAGGTTTCCCACAGTCTGAGATCATTTCTAGAGAACCGAGTTCTCCTTTGCGTTCCTGGTTGGTGTCTGTGCAGCTGGTGCATGTGTCTCTTCTGATCTTGTGAAAGACCCTCCGTACGTAGGAAAGGATGTTTATGTTTAGAGGGGACATCAAATGCCAGTTAGCGTGGTCACAGACACCCCACCAGCGTGCATTTTCTCCCTCTAACTGATGCCACCATGGTTGTGACTGCGATCTCAGCCTTAAGAAAGCTGTGTGACCTTGCAGTGAGGGTGAATGTCCAGAGGTGTCTTCAGGCTCTACAGAGTCTGGCTGCAACGACACTTTGGTGGCAGCTGCTGCTTCAGTCTTGGTGGGAGTAGAATGTGGAGAGGCCTGTCTTCAGGTTCTTCAGGGCGAGTGCAGGACCCCCAGGTGTAAGGAGTAAGGTTTTCCCTCCCACCGCCGGTCTTGTCCCGCCACCGTACCAAACCGAGACTCTGTATTTGATATAATTCTGTTGGCCAGGTACTAGCTTCTTATCGGCTAGCTCTGTCTTAATTATTAACCCATTTCTATGTATTTCCACGTGGTCTTACCAGGAAGAGGCAGCTGGCAGTTCTGCCTTCTCCAGACTCTCCATCTTGACTCCTCCTTACTACTTCCTCTTTCCTCCTTGTCTCCTAGTCCCTCCTATCTTGCTTTCCTATTGGCCAGCAGTGCTTTATTCATTAACCAGTATGAGAAACATATTTACAGAATGGCATCTCCCATCATGCCTGGGACTGTGGCAAGGCTGTCACAGTTCTGGTGACACAGGGTGGTGCTAAGGCACGGACTATGGAGGCTTTGGAACATGAAGGAGATTCTCCATGGGTCCTGCTGTGTGGCCATTGGTGCTGATGTTGATGGGCAGGGAAGGAGTCTCCCTAATTCCTTTGGGGCCATAGGAGGCCTTGAACTCATTCCATGACCTATGAACTCATAGCAATCATTCCTCGTCTCTCAAATTCCAAATCCTATAGCACCTAAGTTCAAGATTCTGATATTCTCTGCTTCCTGCACACTCAGAACAGAGTGTCTGCACTCGCTTTATGTGATTGCCTGGCAGCCTTGGCCAGGGGAGCATCAACCTCACTCATAGCAGCAGGGCCCATAGCCTCGCTGGCAGAAGTCAAGGGCATCTGGCTTTCACCCCCAGGATCTTGTCTCTTGGATTTGGATAAGCCCCCCTCCTTCCTGGTAAAGGGGTCAGAGCCAGAATGGAAGCACTTGACCATTGTAAGCCAAGACAGAGATTGGTACTGTATGTGTTTTCCAGAGACAGTGCATGTGACAGGTGTGATGCTGTAAGCATCTCAGGACCCCACGCCTTTTTTGGGAGGAAAAAATTACATTCCTGGATAGGTGGTGGCGGTGATGCACGCCTTTAATCCCAGTATTTGGGAGGCATAGGCAGGCAGATCTCTGTGAGTTTGAGGCCAGCCTGGTCTACAGAGCTAGTTCCAGGACAGGCTCCAAAGCTACACAGGGAAGCTACTCTTTTCAAGCATGGTCCTTGACCTGGACTGTTCCCTCCAGAAACAAGCAGTTCAGGCTTGTGACGGTGGTCAGGGCAGGGAGACACAGGCAGCAGCGGTCACCTCTGAAAATTTCTTGCAGGTGTTCACCTTGCTGTGGATTGCTGACTGGATGGTCCATCGCTTCTGGAGGAAGGGGAAAGACCCAGACAGTTTCTCCATCCCGTACCTGACAGCGCTGGGTGACTTGCTTGGGACAGCTCTGCTGGCCCTAAGTTTCCATTTTCTCTGGCTTATTGGAGACCGCGATGGAGATGTTGGGGACTAAGGATCCTAGAAGCTGTTGCAGGGTCACCCAGGAGGAGAACACAAGGCAGCCACTGCTGCCCTTCCCCAAAGCTCTGAATCTGTCATGTGACTTTGCCGGGCTAGTCTGCGGTTCACCCTGACTCCATAAATGGCCTTAATGTACTTTTTAAGGAATTTGTGTTGAAACACGACTTGTGCTGCTTTTTGTAGAATAAATAATTTGACACAGACATAGATACAAGGTCACACTCTAAAATTAATTAGGAAAGAATCTAGGATGTTTACAATGGATAATTTTGAAACCACAAATCTAGCAGAAATATACTTTATTATTAGGGTTATCATGCAAGGTTGGAGGCAAGGAGCTTTAGCCTTCTTTGTCTTACAGCTGTGTCATACTACAAAGAATGCTGTGATGTGAAAGGTGCCAGCCAAGCAGCCCCGAGTATTCATTAACCCTCTTCCATGGGAGCTAAGGCTGCCAACCACTTATTCCTAAGACCATGCAACGCACTCTGCTGAGCATGATGACACACTGACTCACTCTTGTCTAAAACTTACCTGTGCCAATGTTCGTTTAATTTCAGTTCTCAGCAGGTAACCCTTGAAGTAGTTTTTTTGTCTGCAGAGAAGGGGTTCACCGTGCGCCCCAGCAGGCCTTCCTCTTGCTTTGGTCCCTTCTTCCTGGCTGAACGCACCGGGGCATTTTGCTCATCGTGTTGAAAGATATAGATCTGAGTTAGAGAATAGTCATCAAAGCAGAAGATCAGTTCAGCTGCGTTTGTGGGCACAAGATGGTGTGTGTGTGTGTGTGTGTGTGTGTGTGTGTGTGTGTGTGTGTGTGTGTGTGTGTGTCTGTGCGTGCGCGCGCGCCTGTGTGCCTGTGCATGTGCATGCGTGCTTGTGTGTCCATGTGCGAATGTGTGTGTGCATTCATGTATGTATTAGTGTGCACATGTTTGTGCACATACATGTGTGTATTTGCGTGTGTTTCTGTGTGTGTGTGTGAAGACAGAGAGAGACACACAGAGAGTCAGGCAGATTTCTTTGTCTAAAATAAGTACCATTTAATATAACACAGACCTAAGACTTGGGAACAGTAGCTGGCTCTGTTACTCTATAGGACGCCCTACCTGGCAGTTGTCCCTCCAAAGGAGAAGTGTGTCTCCTCAGTTAGCATCTCATCACGGGCTTCATCTATAATGACCATCTCACACACGTGGCTGTATTTCTCAAATATTTTTCTGAAACTCTGGCCAGTATCCTACACAGCTGCCCGGCACCTGGCTATTCACTTGGAAGCACTTTAGATCACTTAGCGCTTAGGAAAACTTGAGTGCAATCTTTGAAGACCGTTAAATATTTAATAATTTAACCTGTGGAGGGAATAAAATGTACATGGCATTGATTGTCATGATGTTTGTGTTGTGTAACTAGCAGATGGTTTGTAAATGTACTGAGGAAGTATTCTCATTAAAGACTTTATGGAGGTTGTGGTTTAGAGTTATATATTTTTGCTTATTTTTAAACTTCATTCAATTCTTCTGCCTTATACTTAAGCTTTGAAGGCATAGTGTGCACTAATTACGGGATCTCTCCTGTAAAGAGGTACAGTGTCACCGAGTGACTGTTCAGACAAAATAAGCATAAAGTTTATGTGGATGAATATTTAGTTTCAAAGATTATTTTATGTTTTATAAAATTAATAGTACCTTCCGTTTTATTTTTAAAGTATTTGTGAATTTGGGTTTTGCATTGGGCTGTATGTTCTTTTGAGACAGCCCTGCTTTGGTACCTCAGGCTAAGTGTAAACTTGAGATCTGTCTGCCTTAGCCACTGGGATTCGTTTTCCTTAACTCAGAAGAGTGCAGACTCAGCCCCGGTGCTAGCGGGTATTAGCGCTGGCCAGTGCTAGCGTCAGGCTGTGTGCTACACCTTCCAAAGCACACTGAATACCAATAGCGTTGTCTTACGTGGATCGAATGGAGACTCCTGTCTGTGCTTTATAGCTGGGGACTTGGGGATGCAGAGAAGTGACATTTTTAAGATTGCACGGCTGTCAAAAGTGGCCAGACTGTTTTAGACCAATGTACTTTGTTATGCATATCTGTGCCTCCCCACAACTGCATGAAGTGTGTCCACCTAGTCAGTTACCTGAGAGGAAATGCAGTCCAGTGTTACTAGACGTCCAGATTGCTAGCAGGGACATCTCCACCTAAGGTATCCTGGTGGTCAGCACAGCCAATTCCGAGCTATTCCTGTTCCTAAGGTCAGAGAGACTGTAAATGAAATAATGAGTATTTTACTTATAAAATATTCTCCATTTTATAATGAAGACTTTAGGCTGAAGAGCAACGCCTCTTTTCTTTGGTTGTTGTTGTTTTCTGTTTCTTGAGACAGGGTTTCTCTTTGTCGCCCTGGCTGTCCTCGAACTCACAGAGATCCTCCTGCCTCTGCTGCCCCTGCTCCCCACTGCCCAGCACTGGGATTAAAGGTGTGTGCCACCTCTGTCTGGTGACACCTCATTTCTGACAGCAACTGTCCTAGACCTACTGTGCCCCAGGAGGATACCAGTGATTGATGCTCAGCCTTTGTCAGATCAGTAAAACACCTCAGATGCATGTAATGGGCATGTTTTCTCTAAAAACAACTGCAGATCTTTGAAAGTCTTCGTGTAAGTATGTAAATTTTATTTACCCATAAATGTTATTATCAGTCTTAGGTAAACTAACAGTATTTTTATACCACTCAAAACCCAACTTTCCAAAAACTCCTTTTCCACTAATTTACCAGGCACATTATACACACAGCTAAATAAATCATTTTTTTTTTTTATTCTTGACCACCCCCCTTCTTTTGAAATTTCCAAAGTTTCTTAGGAGCTAATAGAATAGAAACTCATGGTGGGGTATCTTGTGGAGGCATCAGAAAACCTCACACCAAATGAGTCTTGTAAACGGCTCCCATTGCTGGGGTGGGACCTTCCTTCCCTGTGTCCAAGGGGTAGTCTGCCCGCCGACAGCGGGCTCTGGCACCCTGGAATTGTGTAAACCCAAGTCAAAATAAATAAAATGCGAGATGCACTTCCTTGTGCTGCCGTGGTTTCTTTTTAAATTACCCTGTCAGCTACAGAAGGTGGAACATGTCTGGAAGTGCCCCAGAAGGGTCCAGGTGGTCTGCCCAGTCTCTCCCTGTTTATGGGACACAGTGACCAGGCTTTGGTGACAGCCACACATCCAGTCCACTGCTCCACCGTGCTCTTCCCTGCATTGTCCAGAGCCCTGGGGTCCATCAGTCCCTTCCAGATTGAACAGAGCTAGCTGTCTCTCTGTCTCTCCATTTGTCTCTCTCTGTCTCTCTGCCCTGGTGTTTGTGTCTGTCTCTGCTTCCCCCCCCCCACTCCCCACCCCCGACTGGCTCTGGCTCTGCGGGGTGGTATGGGGTTATTTTCTCTCATCAGTTTTTTTTTGTTTTGTTTTGTTTTGTTTTGTTTTATGTGTATGCAACGCGTGTGTGGTGTCCATAGAGACCAGAACAGGGCACGGGATCCCCTGGAGTTAGCTAGTTGTAAACCACCTGACTCTAGGTCATCTTGGAAAACGGAAATACGGCGTGACTGCTGAGCTGGCTCTCCAACCCCTGAGGTCAGCCTTCAGAAAGCTGGGCTAGGCTAGGAATGGGTTTCACTGAGTACACGTGACCACACTTTCCATTCTGTTCTGGGCCCTTCACCATCTCAACCACCACCAGCAACAGTGTGAAAGGTGGGGATACAGTCCACTGGGCCAGCAGTCGCAAGTTAGCCCAGATGTCCAGGAGACGTGGCTAGATCACCACTCTACATATATGCAGTAAAAGCCCTCATGATAAGTTTAAATCAGCATGTTAGCCCAGGTGCATGACGGAGCATATTCTCAGACATACTCTGTGCATGACTGGTCTTTAACGAAGTGCAGTATCTTCTGGCTCGTTGGAAGCCAGTGTTTATGAAGGCGATGGGTGCTGGATGTTTTGAATGAATGAATGGTCTTAAGGAAATGCTCAAGGCAAAAAAAAAAAAAAAAAAAAAAAAAAAAAAAAAAAAAAGAAAGAAAGAAAGAAAGAAAGAAAGAAAAAACTCCACTTGGTTTCAGTCAAGCTGGTTCTGAAGAGCTGTGTCAGCGCACAGAGCAACAGTGATGGGCCCTTTCTCTCTTGGTGGAAAACAGGAGGTGGTGCTCATTGAACAAAACTCCAATGCAAAATGTGCCGCCTCTTAGGTCCAAAGGGCCCTCTCAAGCCCCCAAATGCCAGTCTGGGCTGCAGTCTGGGCTTGGCTAGGATGGGCTAGGCTCCGCTCTGCTCAGCTAGGCTCGGCTGGGCTCGGCTCAGATAGGCTCGGCGAAGCTCTGCTCAGCTAGGCTCGGCTAGGGGCTCGGCTCTGCTGGGCTCTGCTGGGCTCGGCTAGGCTGGTGCTGGATTGACAGAGAAACTGCTACTTCAAATCAGCATTCCTCTGAAAGCTTGTAAAGGAGTTTCTGTTGGCCAGGAAAGGCATTACTTTCTTATCTGGCCCCACACCCCTCTGGAAAGGAGTCTAGTCTCTATTAACTCAAAGGAGACTCCCACAGATCAAAGCCCCACACTGCTTCCCAGGCTGTCCCAGATAACTCGCCTACCTACCGCCTGCCCCAACATCACCCTCACAGCTGGGAGAGTTCCCACGAGTCTCTTCCCTCTGACCCTGGAGAGATAGCCTGGACAGCTCGAATAACCTTTTCCTTCTCCAGCCATGGAGTGGTCTAGTTTGGTGGGTTCACAGCTCCTTCCTCATTTCATTGCAGTTTCCGGGCTAAACCACTCCCCATGAGCTCAAGGAATTCGCAAAAACAGTTTAAAATTCAAGTTGTATAAGAGGACAGGGTCCCTGCAAAGAATATTTACCCAGAAGGGCCCCCCCCCCCCCCGTGTCCCAGAGGTCTCTTGAACACGCCTAACGTTCAGCAACCTGCATTGGAGGCTTATAAACACCTGGAGGCCAAAGGGCGAGAAATGTGTTTGCAAAGTGCTGTGCTGGTTTACTGGAGCTAAAAAGCTTGGGATAGACAGAACGTAGTCTCCCATTGTGTCGGACTGAGTGAAACAACAGAAGGAAAAACTATAGCCTAAAACAGTAGCCTAAGGAGTCCCCCAGGGGGAAAGGAGCCAGAGGGCACACAGCAGGTGTCTGTGTGTTCTTCAGATTCTTCTGGATCTGGAACTCAGCACATGTATTACTTAGTAAAATAGCTTTTAAGTGTTTTCTTAAACCACATCCTCACTGTGTCTTCAAGGCTATCCTTGAACTCTCTGTAGACCAGGCTGGCCTCCAGCTCACAGAGATCCGCCTGTCTCT